CTGTTTTCATGGCAAACATAGTTTAAAAGATGATCTCTGGGATAATTATTGCCACTAATTAGTTTTGATATTCCTTTTTAATGATATTTTCATTTATTCCTTTTTGCTAGCTGGATTGCCTTTTGCAATTCTTACTTCAAGGCATACCCCCTTCCAACGAGGATTATTCTGTAATGATGAGTCCATCAAGTACCCTTACAAAGAAGACACCATACCTTATCCGTTATTAGGTGGAATAATCATTCCATTCAGTATTATCGTTGTAAGTTAAATCCACTTTTCCAAGTTTATCACTTTTGGGCAGTTGGCTTTAATTTTGTGTTATCCTGTTAATGATTGAATGTATAACCCTCTAAAACATGTGTTTTTAACTTTTTATGTTATTTGATCAAAATAATCTCAACTATATTAAGCGGGGCTAAAAGAGTAACAATGTATAATTAGAAGAACCTTACTAAATATGTGTGGTTTTATGCTAATCTTTTCCAAGTCACTGTGATTTTTTTTTAGCTCTAATTTCCTATTGTTTCAGTAATAATACAATAGATGAATACTGTATCAATGTATTTTTAGCATACTTTATACTTAGGATATTATTTTATGATTTATTGAGACTGTTTATGAACTGACTCTTGTTACTGAGTTCTAGAAAAGAAAAATTACTAACAGGTGTTAAAAGGCTTCATTTAACCCGTATTTAGTTTAAAGAATTTTTAGATAATGGCAGAAATAGGGGAGAAAAACCCAAGTTCTATAGGTAATTAACAGTGAATATGAAAGCATTTTTACTGGTATTAAAACTAATAATTACTGTTTTCTAGGATTTCAGGTGAGAATGTCTAGAGAATGTGCTCTGGTTGGGGAGAAGATTTCAAGTGATTTGACTAGATGATTTTTATTATCTCTTGACTCAGAGATTCTATGACTTTAATTTTATGCTCCATATCTTGTAACTTTAGAAATAAGATTTATGCTAAAAGCAGAAAATATGGTCTCATCCAGGAGATAGGCCAAAAAGATAAATAGCCAAAAAGATATATCTTGTCTGTTCTGAAGTTTATTAAAAAAACAAAGCAAAACTTCTTGATTTAGAAATTTAGTGTCTGATTGCAAAATGATTACAGCTCCTTATTAGCACTAAAAGTTAATTCCTAATTTGTGGTGTATTATTAATAAAAGAAAATCTCTGCTATACAAATATTTGTTTCGCAACACTGTGAGCTCCTTAAGGCAGAGGTGGTGCCTTGTTCATCTTGTTACCCTTGCTATTGCCATGGACACTAGCTTGTCCTAGGTGCTGTAATGAAACCGGACAGATAATGTCGTAATGTTGGGGGCTCTCCTACAATATATGAATTTACAATATACGAAACTTCTCCTACAATATGAAGCTTTAAGAAATCAGTGGCCCATTTAATCTAGACAGATCTTTACACTAAGTTTTTACTATGAAAAGAAAGAAAGCCTATGATCCTTCTATTAAAGAGGAAGTACAAGTAGACTCTTTTTTAAGTATATATTTCTGAGAGATTAATAGCTCTTTACATATAAAAATTTTAGCAGGACTTTTCTGCAAATAATAGCTGATTATAGACAAGATTTAAGTACTCAAATGCTGCTACAAACGTACTTGTCTTTCAATTCCACTTTTGTTTGTGTCTCAGTAAGAAGGATGCTGCACGAGCAAAACTACAGAAATCTGCTACAGTCCAGAACAGGGTGCTGTGCAGCCTGCCGAGCAAGCGCAGGGCCCATAGACACGCAGTTAGCAAAGACTTGTTATGTATATTTTATTAACTTGGAAGTTTTGATTATTTCACCATCACCTGTGAAAAGGTTAGCTTTGTATTTACAAAACAGCAAGTAAGTTGAGTGTGGTGGTGGTTTAGTTGCTGTGTTGTGTCTGACTCTTGAAACCCCATGGACTGTAGCCTGCCAGGCTCCTCTATCCATGGGATTCTCTAGGCAAGAATACTGGAATGGGTTGCCATTTCCTTCTCCAGTGGATCTTCCCAACCCAGGGATCAAAGCCGGGTCTCCTGCATTGCAGGCAGAGTCTTTACTGACTGAGCTATAAGGGAAGCCTAAGTTGAGTGTAAAAAGGACAGACTGTTTAAAAGTGCTGTAGAAGTACTTTTTCCATATCAACTACATCAACAAAGACACACACTGGCAGTGGTTTTATGTACTAATTTAAAATAATTTCAGATTATTCACTAACTCAACTTCTTTCAGGCAGCACATGGTTAGACTTGTTTATGTTTAATTTTGTTTTCTAGAAAGTAAATCATTTCTTTAAAAAAATCAGGACTATGATTGGGACTTCATAACAGGCCTTTGATGTGACTTGCAAATGATCCACAAATATATGAGTGATTGAGGGAATCTGGTAAAGAATCAGAATTAATATAGTATCACAGAAGCCAAGGGAGAAGTTCAATAAGGACAAAATGGTCAGTGATGTCATATACTACTGGGAAGTTAAGATTTGGGTTGATAAAAATCTCTTTGATCTAATGAGACCATTTTGACTTTTTGGAGAGCTATTCAGTATCATAAAGGGTTTAGAGATATTTAGAAAGGAGTGGAAATATGGCAGTGAGTGATTTTAGACTATTCCTTCAGGAAGGTGAGCCCTGAGTGGAAGACACATAACTATAGTGACAGTGTAGAGACATATAAGATTATCTTGGTTGATGGAGATATAAAGATGGTGAGAAAATACTCTGATACATAGGTTTTAAATGATTAAATCCTTCTGATTTAGATAGCTACTAGCTTTGATCTTCAAAAATATTTTGTTTTACTCCCCCAAAATCATCTTTAGTACTTTAATAATTTATCCTTAATCTGATTAAATAATGTTTGACAAACAATCCCAGCTTTATGATTAGAGCAGTTAGTTTAAGTGTGAACTTCACCAGAGGCTGAGTTGCCCTAAATGGCTCGAAGGGCAAGATAAGGTTTTAAAATGAAATGAAAATATGCTGTCACGTGTCAGTGAAAGGCACGGACGTCTCCCTGCGTTTGATTTAGAACGTCTCTGTTATCTATTTCTCTCATTACAGATGGGCATACATAATTTAAAAAAATGATGTACTCTGACCTAGCATTTGTTAGATTTAGAGTCCCTCTGCATCCTTTCCCATATTAAGGGTTAAACTTCAGCATATTCCACATCTGTAGGTCAACTTTTAATTTGTGCCCAGTATGCTGAATGTTACTAGTGAACTGATTTTCAGTCATCAGTGGCAAGAACCAGAGTCTAGGTGGCCCTAGACAGTGATCATTATGACTAGGAATACTCACAAAGATTAATATTTGTTTTTAGAAAGTAGTTGAGTGCTTACACAAGAAGAACTGACAGCTGGAAAGTTGAAGTTTCACTGCTCAAATTGTGGTTGACTAATATACTTGGTATATATTTCAAATTATCAAAGGTCATCTCCATAACAAAACATTAGCGATATCTTTTCTTACTGTTTATCTATCAAAGCAGTTGCTGGAACATATTAATGGCCTGAGGAGATGTAATATATTTTAATTCAAGGCCTCTAGGACAGTCACCAGGGAGGTATGGTATCCCCAGAAGTGAATGTGGTTTTCCTCTGTGAGACGTGTGCTCAGCAAAGGGTTGATTAAGTCATCCACATTAAGGATTATAACGAGGGATATTCCTGTGGGGTTTAATGTATTTAAGGATGTTTACTTTTTACCTAGGAGGTAGCACCTTGAATTGAAATTTATTGACCACCAGCTCTGTTTTAGGCCTCTGTGGTGGTGTTAGCTTTCTGTTCAACTAAAAATTCATCTTGGTTTTGTAGAGTTCATAGTCTAGTTGTCAAAGTTACAACATTGTAATTATGGAATTCTAGGAGCCATTGAGCCAGATGAAGAAAGAATTTTTGATAGCAGGTTCTTGAAATCCCTTTCAGGAGACAACCATTTATCTCACCCCCAAAGATAATGAATAGTTGCTAAATGGAAATGTTTGAATGCTTTGTAAAATCGTTTATTTAATTTAAGATGAAGCAGTGAAACTCTTTAAGTGAAAGTTTGTGATTTATATCCATGCCCAACATAAATTAGCAAGCAGAATATTTTGTTTAAGTGTTTATTTTGGTCTCAGGTAGCTAGAGTGCGGCTTATTATTTTTTATAATGTTGCCATTCAGTATTTTTTCAGATTTCTTAGGATATTGGTCTGTGAATTTGTAAAGTACTTGAAAACCTTTTTATGCCTTTAAACCCATTATACTGGTGTGCACTTACACACACACTACTAGTATCTGAGAAGGCTATGACTCCTATTTTACAAAAGTCAGTGAAAAAGAGGAAGGAGTCACCTGAAATGTTTTCTTGGAGAAGGAGAACATCAAGTGTATATTTGGTCTTCTGATGAGACTTGTTAAGGAAGCCAGCTCTAAAGGCTTCCTGGAGAGGCAGGACTGGGAGACCTTGTCAGCTGGTCTCTGCCCTCTGCACCCTTTAACCTCAGTGTTAGATCCCCGCTTTTATTAGGTTAGCTTTTTCTCTTAAAATGTTTTACGTTTTTTTAACATGATGAATATTTTTGGTTCAAAGTAATATCTGATGCAAATGCAGACTCTGAGATCAAAGTGCTTATGTAAGGGATATTCTAATTGGAAAGTTTGTATTCTTTGAAAAGCCATTGTTTTTGTACTCCGTGGTACATCATTGTCTACTTATTAAGGCTCGGTTTATTTGAATACAAGAAGTAAGGCCTTATTGTTTCAAGTTAGACTTTGGAATTATTTAGGCTTTGTCATTGCTCTGTAAGCAGTATCAATTGATGACACCTTTTTTTGTGGTCTAGAATTAGGAATCCTAAGTTGTTCTCCATTTGAAAAGGAAAAAAGAGAGGGAGGTATTTTTAAAACAAACATTGTGATTTACCATTTTCTTCTATATTCTTTACCTTGTTTGACGTGCCTGGATACTGCTTTAACATTATTTTTCTGTTTTGTTTTTTTTTTTCAGATGATTGTTGGAGAAACCCTGTCTGTTTACTTTAACCTCTTGCACTCGAATTCCTTTATCAGGAATAACTACATAGCCACTATTTACAAAGCCATTGGAACATTTTTATTTGGTGCAGCTGCTAGTCAGTCCCTGACTGATATTGCCAAGTATTCAATAGGCAGACTGCGGCCTCACTTCTTGGATGTTTGTGACCCAGACTGGTCAAAAATCAACTGCAGTGATGGTTACATTGAAAACTACATATGTCGAGGAAATGCACAAAAAGTGAAGGAGGGCAGGTGCGTGTTAAATTTTTAATGCTTGTTTTATCTTGCGCATTCTTTTTTTTTTTATCTTGTGCATTCTTGAAATACAAGGTTTCAGTGATTGGAAGATGAGCTATCCAGTAGCTTAAAGAGAGAGAAGCTAGTATAATCACTGGGAGGTGAATTGAAATCATGTTTGATCTATTTTCTCTACTTACTCGTTTTTCCTGTTTTATCCCAGTACTCTGTTTAAGAGCATTTTAAAGCAATTCTTTTCATCTTCAGTGTATAATAATGTAAAATGAACCCTTTAGATCACACAGTCCAGGATCAGCAAACTTTTTTTTAAGATGCCAGATAATAAATATTTTAGGCTTTGTGGGCCATGTGTTGGCTACTGTTCATCTCTGCCTTTGTAGCAGAAAAAAACAATCATAGACAGTCCTTAAACAAATGAGTGTAGCTGTGTTCCAATGAAACTTTACTACGTAGATAGTGGCTGCCCTATGGGTTATATAGTTTGCTTATTTTTGATCTAGTTCATGGAGCTCTGCTAGATCTCTTAGTATTCTTAGAGTATTTTTTTAAGTTAATTTCATCCATATATTGATAGATCTGGGACCTCAGATTGCTTTCTTATCACACACTTGGGCTACTTTCTACATTGGGAGCTCTATTAGACATGAATGAAAGAGAATATTTGGAACCCAAAAGGTCTAATGCCTTTAATTTATGGATGAGCAGACAAAGGCCCAGTAACATTGAATAAAGCCACACTAACGTAAATACACTACTATGTGTAAAATTGTTAACTAGAGGGAAAATAATTTATAGTAGAAGAAACTCAGCTTGGTGATCTATGGGGTGTGTGGGAAATTGGGAGGGAAGCTAAAGAGGGAGGGGATATACGTATCCATAGAGCTGATTCACTTTGTTGTATAGGAGAAACTAACACAACATTGCAAAGCAATTATACTCCAATAATAAAATTCTTTTAAAAAGACAGAAAAGCCACTAATTAGTAGCAGAGCCAATTCCTCATCCCAAATCTCAGAATTGTCAGTCTCACTTACTCTGTGTTTGATCTTCTTGTATTTTAGGATAGCTATTACCATTTTCCTTTATTTATTCATCCAACAAATACTTTCTTTCAGAAAAACATCCTCCGATTGTTTTTTTATATATGATTCCCAGACACTCATTGTCCTTCTTAGTTCTTTTGTAAGTCAAACAGGCCTGCTACTGCTGCTGCTAAGTCACTTCAGTCGTGTCCAACTCTTTGTGACCCCATAGACGGCAGCCCACCAGGCTCTTCTGTCCCTGGGTTTCTCCAGGCAAGAATACTGGAGTGGGTTGCCATTTCCTTCTCCAATGCATGCATGCATGCCAAGTCACTTCAGTCTTGTCTGACTCTGTGCGACCCTATCGACAGCAGCCCACCAGGTTCCTCTGTCCACGTGATTCTCTAGTCAAGAATACTGGAGTGGGTTGCCATTTCCTTCTCTAAAACAGGCCTGCTAGTGGTCCTCAATATTTGCATTTAATGGAGATGAAAAAACACTTTAAGAGTATGCATTATGCTGTGTGCTTGAAATTCAGTGAACAAGACAGCTCTGATTTCTATCTTCATGGAGCTTAGTCTAGCAGAAAAGATTTACATTAAACAAATATTGACAGTAGAAACCATGAAATTAAAACACACTTGCTCCTTGGAAGAAAGCTATGAGCAGCCTAGACAGCATATTAAAAAGCAAAGACATTACTTTGCTAACAAAGGTCCATATAGTCAAAGCTATGGTTTTTCCAGTAATCATGTGTGGATATGAGAGTTGGGCTATAAAGAAAGCTGAGCGCAGAAGAATTGATACTTTTGAACTGTGGTGTTGGAGAAGACTCTTGAGAGTCCCTTGAACTGCAAGGAGATCCAACCAGTCCATCCTAAAGGAAATCAGTCCTGAATATTCATTGGAAGGACTGATGCTAAAGTGGAAACTCCGATACTTTGGCCACCTGATGCAAAGAACTGACTCATTTGAAAAGACCCTGATGCTGGGAAAGATTGAAGGTGGGAGGAGAAGGGGACGACAGAGGATGAGATAGTTGGATGGCATCATCAACTCAATGGACATGAGTTTGAGCAAGCTCTAGGAGTTGGTGATGGATAGGGAAGCGTGGCATGCTGCAGTCCATGGAGTCACAAAGAGTCAGACACGACTGAGCTACTGAACTGAACTGACAATGAAAGGGAACCTCCCTGTTGTTAACAATTCCAAAGAATATCTTAAAAAACTGGCAATAGAACTGCCATATGACTCAGCAATCCCACTTCTGGGCATACACACCGAGGAAACCAGATCTGAAAGAGACACGTGCACCCCAATGTTCATTGCAGCACTGTTTATAATAGCCAGGACATGGAAGCAACCTAGATGCCCATCAGCAGACGAATGGATAAGGAAGCTGTGGTAAATATACACCATGGAATATTACTCAGCTGTTAAAAAGAATTCATTTGAATCAGTTCTAATGAGATGGATGAAACTGGAGCCCATTATACAGAGTGAAGTAAGCCAGAAAGATAAAGACCATTACAGTATACTAATGCATATATATGGAATTTAGAAAGATGGTAACGATAACCCTATATGCAAAACAGAAAGAGAGAGACACAGATGTATAGAATAGACTTTTGGACTCTGTGGGAGAAGGCGAGGATGGGATGTTTCAAGAGAACAGCATTGAAGCATGTATATTATCTAGGGTGAAACAGATCACCAGCCCAGGTTGGATGCATGAGACAAGTGCTCGGACCTGGTGCACTGGGAAGAGCCAAAGGGATCGGGTCGAGAGGGAGGTGGGAGGGGGGATCGGGATGGGGAATACATGTAAATCCATGGCTAATTCATGTCAATGTATGACAAAAACCACTACAATATTGTAAAGTAATTAGCCTCCAACTAATAAAAATAAATGAAAAAAAAAATTCCAAAGAATAAACAGGTTGTTGAATGACAGGCTCTGAGGTGATGATACGAGGACTGATATGGGTATAATGTCTTAATAAAGTGGGGAAAGTGATTTAAGTGGAAACTGGTTGAGATGTAGATAGTAGAAGGTGCTATTTTGATTTGAGCTTAGGTAAGCAACCTTTTTTTTTTTGTAAGAGGGAAAGACTGGTCCACCAATGGCTGTGAAGAAAGATGAAGATAATCAAGACCAACAGTGGACTCTTAAGGTATAGGATGTGGATATCTCATTCTCTGCTTTGATAGTGATGTAGAGCCTAGTACTGTCTTAGGGAAAGGCTCTTTAATGACTAGTAGATGTAGAAGACAATGGCACCCCACTCCAGTACTCTTGCCTGGAAAATCCCTTGGACAGAGGAGCCTGGTAGACTGCAGTCCATGGGGTCGCCAAGAGTCGGACATGACTGAGCGACTTCACTTTCACTTTTCACTTTTATGCATTGGAGAATGAAATGACAACCCACTCCAGTGTTCTCGCCTGGAGAATCCCAGGGATGGGGTTGCACAGAGTCGGACACAACTGAAGTGACTTAGCAGTAGCAGATGTAGTGAGCTTCAGTGAAGAGTTTGAAGACACAGGGAAATATAGAGGACTTTAACTATCCTGGCAAGAATACTGGAGTGGGTTGCCATGCCCTCCTCCAAGGAGTCTTCCTGACTTAGGGATCAAACCTGCATCTCCTGCATTACCAGGCAGATTCTTTACCACTGAGCCAACGGGGACCGCCCCCCCCCCCCCCCGCCCCGCCTCATATCACATACAACCATAGAATTCCAGAATACACAGAGAAGGAGTTGGGTTGGAAGGGATAAAGTGGCTTGGTTGGAGAAGAGGAAGCTTATTTTGATGGTAGTGCTTTAGTCGCTAAGTCGTGTCTGACTCTTGTGACACCATGGACGTAGCCTGCCAGACTTCTCTGTCCATGGGATTCTCCAAGCAAGATTACTGGAGTGGGTTGCCATTTCCTTCTGCAGGGGATCTTTCCAACCCAGGAATCAAACCCGGGTCTCTTGAACTGCAGGCAGATTCTTCACTGACTGAGCTATGAGGGAAGCCTTTATTTTGGTAGAGGTTACTTCTAATTTGATCAGTTTGTAAAGAATTGCCATTTTGATATTAAGTCCTCTAATCCATGAATATGATATTATCTTTCCATTTTTTTATGTTCTTTTGTTTCTCTTAGCAGTAGTTTTTAGATTTTGGTGTCCATGTCTTGCACACATTTTGCTTAAATGTGTCACTAATTTTTAAGATCTCTTGATGCCATTATGAAAAGTGTTTAAAGAAACATTTAAATTGATTTCGAGTTGTGTTTAAAAATAAAACAAACAAAAAGTTTTTTATATGGTTTTATCTGGCCTTTTATCCTTTAAACTTGCTAATGTAACTTCTTATGTAGGTTCCTCAAGATTTTCTCTGTTCCTCTCAGTATTGTCTGTGAATAAACAGTGTTGTTTTTCTTTTTTTCCTTTTCTATATTGCCTTTTATTTCTTTTCCTTACTGTATCATACTGGCTAAGACTGCTAATACAATGTTGAAAGAAGTGGTGAGAGCAGATATGCTTGTCTTGTTCCTGACCTTGGGTAGAAAGCACTCAGTCTTTCACCATTAAATATAGTACCAATATGTTTTTGGTAGATGCACTTTATTAGATTTTTGTCATAAATGTGTTTTGTCAGATGCTTTTTCTTTGGCTGTTGAGGTCATACTGCTTTGCTTTTTTCTCTTAAAATAGTGTATCACTTTAATCTTGGAATATTAAAGCAACTTTTCATTCCTGGGACTAACTTCACTTGGTCATAGTATATTATACTTTTTGTATTAACTGGGCTCAATTTGCTAATGTTATGTTAATGATTTTTACTTCTGTATTCATGAGTGTTACTTGTCTATAGTTTTCTTGTGAAGTTTTTGGCTAGACTTGGTATCAACGTTTGGTATTAAATGTTAGGTAGAATTCACCAGCAAATACACTTAGACTTGAAATTTTCTTTGTAGGAATGTT